TAAAACACAGAGGATTCCCCTCTAGGCTCAACTTCAAAGTTACAAAAACAGGAATAAACCTCCCTCTTAGCATAGGGAAAATTCACAAGCTAAAACAATAGATAATCTAACGCATTTCCTTGCCTTTACTTACAATTTCTGTAATTTTAGATGTATCATTTCAAGGTATCTTTTCAAGAGATGGTTTACCTGCTTGGTCTCTCTCTCTTTATCCAGAAGGAACAAACAAAGAGAGCACAAACAAAAACCTCCCCTCCCCACATAGATTTGAAAGTATCTTCTTTTCCCATTGGTCCTTCTGGTCAGGTGCCAACTAGGTTAATTGAACTGATTAACCCCTTACAGGTAAAATGAGTCTGTACCTCTGTCTGTGTCAAGGTTCCTTCCCCACTCTGAACTTTAGGGTATAGATGTGGGGACCTGCATGAGAAGCTCTAAGCTTAACTACCAGCTTAGATCTGGTTTTGCTGCCACCACTCCCAAGTGCTAACTCCCTTCCCTGGGTAGCCTTGAGAGACTTCTCCACCAATTTCCTGGTGAACACCGATCCAAACCCTTGGATCTTAAAACAAGGAGAAATTAATCATTCCCCCTCCTTTCCCCCCACCAATCCTGGTGAGTCCAGATCCAACCCCCTTGGATCTTAAAACAAGGAAAAATCAATCAGGTTCTTAAAAAGAAGGCTTTTAATTAAAGAAAGAAAGGTAAAAATCATCTCTGTAAAATCAGGATGGAAAATAAGTTTACAGGATAATCAGATTCAAAGAGCCCAGAGGAACCCCCTCTAGCCTTAAGTTCAAAGTTACAGCAAACAGATGTAAATACTCTAGCAAAAGGTACATTTACAAGTTGAGAAAACAAAGATAAACCTAACACGCCTTGCCTGGCTGTTACTTACAAGTTTGAAATATGAGAGACTTGTTCAGAAAGATTTGGAGAGCATGGATTGATGTCTGGTCCCTCTTAGTCCCAAGAGCGAACCACCCCCAAAACAAAGAGCACAAACAAAAGCCTTCCCCCCACCAAGATTTGAAAGTATCTTGTCCCCTTATTGGTCCTTTGGGTCAGGTGTCAGCCAGGTTACCTGAGCTTCTTAACCCTTTACAGGTAAAAGGATTTTGGAGTCTCTGGCCAGGAGGGATTTTATAGTATTGTACACAGGAGGGCTGTTACCCTTCCCTTTATAGTTATGACAGTCTGTACCTCTGATCAGGAGGGATTTTATGTTACTGCATACATAAAGGTTGTTACCCTTCCCTTTATATTTATGACAGTGCCCTGGAGAAAGTTAAACTAACTCAGGAGGCTAACACCCTCAGGGAGTGATTAAGCTACAGGGGGACTCTATAACAGTCAACACTGGTTCCATGGACTGAGCAGGAGACTGCGTGGTCTCCGCTCCCAGGAAGGGGTGCTAGACAGAAGGTCTTCACCTCATGAGTGTGTCTAGGGACCTGAAGACTGGGGCCGCCTGGGCTCTGTTCAGACTCCAGAGGCTTAAAACATCTGGGGATCCAGAGGCTAGATTCCCCATGAGCCATCTATTGGGCTGCCATCATGGGGAGTCTGATCAGACCGGTGACAGCATTATGCTGACTCCCAGCTCCCTCTAGGTTCTACCTCTGATACAGGAGTTTCTAACTGCTTCCAGCTCTTTACTGCTGGCATGCAAGGAAGCCTTGAGTGCCTGCAGTGAATACTCATAGCACAGTTTCTGTTACATGTTACATGCTACATCACAAGGCCATTACTTAGGTTGCAAGGCCAAGCTCTCAGGGCTTAGGAAACATCAGTTCTGCTGCCTGTGCAGTTTAGTCCCTTGTGCACATGCCCGGTCAGGTGAGATTTCCAGAGCAGATAAAGGAGTTAGGCATCCAAAGGTCAGTGGGATTTGGGTACCTAAATGCCTCAGCTCCTTTCAGAACCCCAGCTTCAGCCTTTGCAATGTGCACTGAGTGGGGGTGATGTTTATGAAATTTGATGTGCCTGTTTGTCAGTTTGCTATGGTGCTGGGGACTGTGGGCTCACCAGGGGTAATGTCCAGCAGATGCTGACAGGCCTGTGGACAGGAAATGCAGACCAATGCTCTTCAGGGCCCTGCAATCACAGGTAATTAAAGGCCAGAGTAGAAAGCCCACAGCTTTGACATCCAACCCTGTCCCCCCATCCCTGGTGAAGTTGCATAAACTGGTTTGGACCTGGCTCAGAGTCTCAGGGCAGAGAAAAGAATTTTGAAGGCTGTACTTGAAGCCTGTACTTTCACTAGGGAGCAGAGGAACAAGGAACTGTGAGGAGCCTGAGATAGTGCCTGGCTAATTAGAATTGCATCACTCATATGTTTTTCACATGGCCTGTTTTCGTACTCATGTAACTAAATTAAGTGGACATGTTTAGTCTGGAGAAGTGAAGACTAAGTGGAGACCTGATAATAATTATAAAGAAGACGGTGATCAATTGTTCTCCATGTCCACTGAAGGTAGGACAAGAAGTAATGCGTTTAATTTGCTGGAAGGGAGATTTAGGTTAGATTCTAACTCTAAGGTTAGTTAAGCTCTGGAATAGGCTCCAAGGAAGGTTGTGGAATCCTCATAATTGGAGGTTTTTATGAGCAGGTTGGACAAACACTGGTCAGGGATTGTCTAGGTTTACTTGGTCCTGCCTCCGTACGGAGGGAGGGACTAGATGACCTATCGAGGTCCCTTCCAGCCTGACATTTCTATGCTTTTCCATCATGCATCTCTGTTCTTGCTCCTTGCTCCCTTGTGTCTGCTGCATCCCCTCCTGGCCATGTGCCCCATGCAGGCTTTACACCCCAGGACTGGAGCTCCCTCCTGCCCAGAGTGCCAAGGACCCACCCTGGTTTCTCTCCAAGCCCTGCACAATATATCTGCCCATTTGCCATCAAGGCTGCTTTTGGACAGAAAATTGGGGGTTTCAGCTAAATGAAATTTTCACTAAAAGTGTCTGCTTTCCACTAAAAAGCTGAATGCCCAACAACTGACTGGGGGTGTGGTCCAGCCAGGGACCCCAGCCACAGGGAGAAGGGTGGCATGAAGCACCTGAACTACAATTCCCAGGAAGCTCTAAGGTGCCATTTCCAAATTGAAAAATGTCAGTTTTCAGCCAAAAGCTTTTCAGTTTTCAATTTTTTCACTGAAAAGTCAAAGTTTTCTTGGAAATAGAGCCTCATTTCCAACATGACCTGTGGCACGGCTCTTCATGGCAGAGCATCCAAAGCCAAGCAAGGGTGCTGTTTGGTGAAGCATCTCTTGCTGAGCCAGAGCCTGGTGTGTCAGAGCTGCTATACCTCCATACACAAAGGGCAGGCACATGCTTTCAGACAGATTGACCTATGCTTAGAGCCAAGGAACAAATAAATAAGGAACATCAACTGTTGGGTGTCCATCAGAGAGTACCCACAGTCTGTCTTCTGCACGTTCAGTTCACAATGGTTGTCTGTCTCCAGCCCATGAACAGCGACCTTAGAGGCAGACAGGAAACAAGCATAACAACTACATACTATACAGCCACCACATAAATGACTGTCTCTCATAGCAGGGCTTGTGCCTCCTTCCCAGGCAAGTACACTCAGTAGAAACATGATGTTAGAATTCTCTCCGAGACCTTTTCCATTCAACTTATCCAGAATACCTTGTCCAGTTCTGGGAGAACATTTCATCCAGTTCTCTGGGATCCAAAACACTCAGTTCGACTCTGGATTTCATCAGTTTATTTGGGATACAGCGAAGCTACACTGAGTTGATCAGACTCAAGCATAGGGTGTGGGTATAGGGTATACCCACATCCAAAGCTGCACAGACAACCTCTTCCTTTATACACATTTACACATTACATTACATTTGCTATACATTACATCGCAAATTTTTGGCTTGGCTTGGTTACTTTGCAGGAACCAATCCTCTGTACAGCATGCTCTGTCCATGTGCTGTTCATGTGGAACCTGATCTTTACATTCCAGGTTTATCTTGTCCATAGTCCCTAGCATGAAGGTGTTGCTGCTTATCTTAGCTAGCACTGATATCCTGACTCCAGCATACTGTTTGTCAAGCCCACTCAATGTGCAGCAGCAGTCAAAAAACCGAACAGAATGCTGGGAATAATTAAGAAAGGGGTAGATAATGGGATAGAAAATATCATGTTGCCTCTATATAAATCCACGGTACGCCCACATCTTGAATACTGTGTGCAGATGTGGTCGCCCCATCTCAAAAAAGATATATTGGAATTGGAAAAGGTTCAGAAAAGGGCAATAAAAATGATTAGGGGTATGGAACAGCTTCCGTCTGAGGAGAGATTAATAAGACTGGGACTTTTCAGCTTGGAAAAGAGACGGCTAAGGGGAGATATGATTGAGGTCTATAAAATCATGACTGGTGTAGAGAAAGTAAATAAGGAAGTGTTTTTTACTACTTCTCATAACACAAGAACTAAGGGTCACCAAATGAAATGAATAGGCAGCAGGTTTAAAACAAATAAAAAGGAAGTATTTCTTCACTCAATGCACAGTCAACCTGTGGAACTCCTTGCCAGAGGATGTTGTGAAGGCCAAGACCATAACAGTGCTCAAAAAAGAACTAGATAAATTCATGGAGGATACATCCATCAATGGCTATTAGCCAGGATGGGCAGGAATGGTGTCCCTAGCCTCTGTTTGCCAGAACCTGGGAATGAGCGACAGGGGGGATCACTTGATGATTATCTGTTCTGTTCATTCCCTCTGGGGCACCTGGCACTGGCCACTGTTGGAAGACAGGCTACTGGGCTAGATGGACCTTTGGTCTGACCCATTCTTATGTTCTTATTTGCAATTTAACCTTCCATTCACCTTCTCAGTTATGCCTACAGAGAAATGAGGCAAGTTACCTATGTCAAGCCAGGACTATACATGATCATAGTAATCATTGCCAAGAGACACTTAAATGTACTCTGAAGATTCTTTCTCCACCTTCTCTTCACTCTTGCTTTCTGTCCCTCTGCAGAGCAAAGGAGATCAAGACCAAGTTGGGCACGCTTCTCCAGAAGCCTGACTCGGCTATTGACCTGATCATCCCATACCCAGAGAAGCCAGCCAAGGCCCAGAAGTGAGTACTTCCCCATTTATCAATGCTGCTTTGTCAGACACCGGAGAAATGGGTAATTAGAACTGAGTGGAATGACCTGTCCTCCTGAACCACCCTGGCTCAAGGGGCATTTAGTTTTACTGGGGTGCTGGGGGCTGCTTGTTTCTGCTTTTCAGTTACATTTTCAAATCAGTTGTCTAATCTAAACAGAATGTCCTGGCCAATTCTCTGAGGGGTAATTCCATGTGCCTCACCATGTCTCCCCCAGTCAGGGGAACAGAACTCAGGACCTCGGCCTCAAACCTCTAGAAAGAAGTAGCATTTCCCTGGGGAAGTCACAGAGCACTGGAGGAAAGTTACTTTGCGTCGATATTTAAAAAGGATAAAAATGGATAACTACAGGCCCATCAGCTTGACATCAATCACAGGAAAAACGGTGAAAACTCTGATATGGGAGACAGTGGTAAAGAATTAATAGATGGCAGCATAATTAATGCCAGTCAATATGGTTTTACAGAAAAGAGGTCTTTCAAACAATCATGATTTTATTTTATTTTTTTAATGAGATTTCAAATTTGGTTAATACAGGTAACTTTGTCGACAAAATATACTGAGATTTATTTAAGTCATTTGCCTTAGTATTAAATAACATGCTGGTTAAAATAATTAGCAGCACTAAAAAGAATCAATGTAGCACATATTAACTGGTTTAAAAACTGGCTAACAGATAGATCTCAAAAAGTGGGTGTTTCTATAGGGCCCTGCATGAATCTGTTCTTGGTCCAACATGAATCAATATCTTTAATAACGATCTGGAAGAAAATGTAAAAATCTTTGCTGGTCAAATTTTCGGATGACACAAAAATTGGTGAAGTGGTAAGTAATGATGGGAACAGGTGAGTTAGAATCATAGAATCATAGAAGATTAGAAATGTTGGAAGAAATGTCAGGAGGTCATCTAGTCCAACCCCCTGCTCAAAGCAGGACCAACCCCAACTAAATCATCCCAGCCAGGGCTTTGTCAAGCCAGGCCTTAAAAACCTCTAAGGATGGAGATTTCACCACCTCCCTAGGTAACCCATTCCAGTGCTTCACCACCCTCCTAGTGAAATAGTGTTTCCTAATATCTAACCAAGACCTCCCCCACTGCAACTTGAGACCATTGCTCCTTGTTCTGTCATCTGCCACCATTGAGAACAGCCAAGCTCCATTTTCTTTGGAACCCCCCTTCAGGTAATTGAAGGCTGCTATCAAATCTCCCCTCACTTTTCTCTTCTGCAAACTAAACAATCCCAGTTCCCTCAGCCTCTCCTCATAAGTCATGTGCCCCAGCCCACTGATAATTTTCATTGCCCTCTGCTGGACTCTCTTCAATTTGTCCACATCCTTTCTGTAGTGGGGGCCCCAAAACTGGATGCAATACTCCAGATGTGGGCTCACCAGTGCCGAATAGAGGAGAATAATCACTTCCTTGATCTGCTGGCAATGCTCCTACTAATGCAGCCCAATATGCCATTAACGTTCTTGGCAACAAGGGCACACTGCTGACAAATATCCAGCTTCTCATCCACTGTAATCCCCAGGTCCTTTTCTGCAGAACTGCTGCTTAGCCTGTTGGTCCCCAGCCTGTAGCGGTGCATGGGATTTTTCTGTCCTAAGTGCAGGACTCTGCACTTGTCCTTGTTGAACCTCATCAGATTTCTTTTGGCCCAGTCCTCCAATTTGTCTAGGTCACTCTGGACCCTATCCCTACCCTCCAGCGTATCTACCTCTCCCCGCAGCTTAGTGTCATCTGCGAACTTGCTGAGGGTGCAATCCATCCCATCATCCAGATCATTAATGAAGATGTTGAACAAAACCAGCCCCAGGACCGATCCCTGGAGTACTCCGCTTGATACCGGCTGCCAACTAGACATTGAGCCTTTGATCACTACGCGGTGAGCCTGACAATCTAGCCAGCTTTCTATCCACCTTATAGTCCATTCATCCAGACTATACTTTTTTAACTTGCTGGCAAGAATACTGTGGGAGACCGTATTAAAAGCTTTGCTAAAGTCAAGATATATCATGTCCACTGCTTTCTCCATATCCACAGAGCAAGTTATCTCATCATAGAAGGCAATCAGGTTGGTCAGGCATGACTTTCCTGTGGTCAATCCATGTTGACTGTTCCTGATCACCTTCCTCTCCTCAGAGTGCTTCAAAATGGATTCCCTGAGGACCTGCTCCATGGTTTTTCCAGGGACTGAGCTGAGGCTGACCCGTCTGCAGTTCCCCGGGTTCTCCTTCTTCCCTTTTTAAAAGATGGGCACTATATTTGCCTTTTTCCAGTCATCTGGGACCTCCCCTGATTGCCACAAGTTTTCAAAGATAATGGCCAGTGGCTCTGCAATCACATCAGCCAATTCTCTCAGCACCCTCGGATGCATTAGATCTGGACCCATGGACTTGTGCATGTCCAGCTTTTCTAAATAGTCCTTAACCTGTTCTTTCACCCCTGAGGGCTGCTCACCTCCTCCCCATACTGTGTTGGCCAGGACAGCAGTGTGGGAGCTGACCTTGTCTGTGAAGACCGAGGCAACAAAAGCTTTGAGTACGTCAGCTTTTTCCACATCATCTGTCACTAGGTTGCCTCCCCCATTCATTAAAGGTTCCACACTTTCCCTGACCTTTTTCTTGTTGCTAACATATCTGTAGAAGCCCTTCTTGTTACCCTTCACATCCCTTGCTAGCTGCAACTCCAGTTGCGTTTTAGCCTTCCTGATTACACCCCTGCATGCTCGAGCAATATTTTTATACTCCTCCCTAGTCATCTGTCCAAGTTTCCACTTCTCGTAAGCTTCCTTTTTGTGTTTAAGCTCACTGAAGATTTCACTGTTAAGCCAAGCTGGTCACCTGCCATATTTGCTATTCTTTCTGCACATCGGGATGGTTTGTTCCTGTGCCCTCAATAAGGCTTCTTTAAAATACAGCCAGCTTTCCTGGACTCCTTCCCCCCTCATATTAGTCTCCCAGGGGATCCTGTCCATCAGTTCCCTAAGGGAGTCAAAGTCTGCTTTTCTGAAGTCCAGGGTCCGTATTTTGCTACTCTCATTTCTTTCTTTTGTCAGGATCCTGAACTCAATCATCTCATGGTCACTGCTGCCCAGGTTGCCACCCACTTCTACTTCCCCTACCAATTGTTCCCTGTCTGTAAGCAGCAGGTCAAGAGGAGAATGGTCCCTGGTTGGTTCCTCCAGTAGTTGCACCAGGAAGTTGTCCCCAACATTCTTCAAAAACTTCCTGGATTGTCTGTGCACTGCTGTATTGCTCTCCCAGCAGATGTCAGGGTGATTGACATCCCCCTTGAGAAACCGGGCCTGTGTTCTGGAAACTTCAGTTAATTGTCCGAAGAAAGCCTCGTCTACCTCATCATCCTGGTCCGATGGTCTATAGCACATGCCCACCACGACTTCTCGAGTTTCCCGGTCTGGACAACAGATGGATGACTCCGTCCCCCTTAGGAGGGAGTCCCCAACCACCACTACCCGTCTCCTCCTCTTGGGAGTGGTGGTCATGGAACCCCCATCCCTAGGACAATGCACCCCATGCCTTCCGGTTGATGGGGTCTCCTTCTGATCCCTTCCCTCATCCCTTCCAAACCATTGTCCACCGTAGTACCTGTGCAGAGAGCCTGAAAATGGTTTCTTACCTCTAGCTGCATTGGGAGTACATGGGTTCTCCTCTTTATTCTTCTGGAGGTCACATGCTGCCTATTTTCTTCCCTGTTTTGATTCTGATTCTTCAGCCTGCAGTACCAAACACTGACTTCTATCCAGAAAATCTTCATTTTCTCTGATGCAGTGCAGGGTTGATACTTGGGTCTCTAGTACTTTAACCTTCTCTTCCAATATGGAGACCAGCTTGCACTTTGTACAGACGAAGTCGCGTCTATCCTCTGGGAGAAAGACAAACATGGAACATCCTGTGCAGGTCACAACAGCTGATTGCTCACTATCCATATTGTCTTCCTCCTAAGAGCCTCTTCAGAAGTTGTATTTACTGTTCACAGAAGCCTGAAAGGCAAAATCTCTGTGGGAACTCCCCCCAGGCAAACTCCCTCTGTTGGCTTCTCCTCTGTTCGCTGCTCCACAGAGTTCTACAGAGAGATTTGGATCTCTTGATAAGGTGGGGTCATTGGAACAACATATGTTTCATTATGGCCAAATGCAAGGTCAAACATCCAAGGAACAGAGAATGCAGGTCACATTTACAGGCCTTGGAAAGCAGTGACTCTGAAAAGGCCTTATGGGTTCATGGTGGAAACCAAGTGAGCTCCTAGTGCAATGCTGTGGCTTAAGAGGATCAATGTGATCTTTGGATATATGAACAAGAGTCTATTGAGTAGAAGCAGGGAGGCAGTGTTACCTCTGTGTACAGTATTGGCAAGACCATTACTGAATACTGTGTCCAGTTCTGGTGTCCATGTTTGAAATTATGTTGGCAAACTGGAAAGGAGTAAAAAAAGAGCTACAAGAACAATTTGAGGTCTGGAAAACCTCACTGTGAGAGACTGAAGAACCTTATCCAAGAGAAGATTAAGAGGTGATAACTTTATAAATACCAAGAGTTCTAGCAGCCTGCACACAGTCCAGTGAATGATGGGGGCATATTCAAAGTTGATTTTCCCCAAAACACCAAAAGACAATCTCTGCTCCTTCAATATTCTTATCTTGCCAAATTTCATCTTTTGACTTCCCATATACTCCAGACTTCCTGCTGTTTACAAAAATCACAACTTTTTTTAAAATAGGGATTTTCCCTACTACTCTCATAATTTTGGACCAGAACTTGAAAATTTTAGCCCAAAATATGAATATTTAAGAAAATAAAGTATCAATAACTAAAAACAGAAGCTTAAAATAGAAACATTCAGGCTCCTTCACCATAGCTGTCATTGCAGTGTTGCTTTAACAACAGTCTGCAAAGTGCTTTGGGATCCTCCAAGATGTGCGTGATGTAAATGTAATGCATTGTTATTG